AACCAGCAAACGAGGACCACTCCTGCATGCCATTGTGAGTCAGAATGACACCTACAGGTACTAAAGGCGAATCCCACAGGAAGGGTGCTCGACTCGGCGATGCTTTCCCAAAATTCAGTCGAATGCCCAGCACCACAAACAACATGATGCAAAACTCACTGTATTCAACGGAGGAAAGCGCTGTGAAGATCAGGCGACACCCTGTGCACTCGCAGGATTGTTGATTCTGGGCAACAGGGAGAGGAAAAATATCCTGGAACAATTGTTCTGGATTGAATGGCGTCCGTCATCGCCTTTGAGGGTGGAAGGACACTGCTTTGCCACTATTCTGCAAGCGAGGCAGAACTGGCAGCCGGGCCTAAAACATTCGCCATTGCCCGAGTTGTCGCAATTCGATGCGAACCCATGACCCTGCCATCTCGCCACATTCGTGTATGCTCTCCAGCAGTCTCTGGAACCCCACTGCCTGGCCTCGCAACAGCGCATGCGGGCGCGGCGTCTTACAGTGGGTGCGGGCGCATTCGAAGCCACTCCCCTAAAGGCGCTGGCTTGGTGAGCCACACACATTCTCGACGAATCCAACAAAAGCAACCCCATTGCGGGCATTGGCGGTGTGCAGCTGCGTCCATGCCATAGCACCCGACCGCATGCGCACCAATCCACGTCTGCAGCGCCCTGGAGGCAGGACCCGACGATGACGTCCTCCCACACGCGGGTGTAGTCCACGCCGTCTTGATACCGAAAGTCCAGAGCGGGCAAGCCCAGGCGCTCCCGTATCTGCTTCCTGTACTCGGCGGATTTTTCTTCCCGAGTCCGCTCGACCTGTTTGGACGCATCTGCCCCGGGCGCAAAAGTCAGCGTCAGAGTACGGCACCGCGGGAGCACCTCCTGCCAGCTCGAGATCCGCTTTGCAGGGACCATGCCGTGCAGGATTCATCCCTTCGCGTTCACTCACCCGCCGCCTCCCCTCCCAGATTGTCCGTTGGCATCCCTCGCCCACCGCTAAGCGTCCACTTGACGTTGGACTCCCCCGTTCAGGCTCGGTGCCAGTGCAAGCGGCGGGCTGCGTTGTGATGATCCGCGTGCAGCTCCGTCACTGAGCAGGCGTGAGGCGCGCGGGCGGACACCCCGCTGGGGCCTGCGGCTCTGTCGCTCTGTTCCAATCTGGAGGGCTGCAGCGCGGTGACTTCGGGCTGGTGCGCTGCCCAGAGCCCGTTTTGTGGCAGGCAAGAACCAGCGCCAATTGCTAGCTGCAGGGCAGCTTCAGTGCACAGGTGGGCTGGGTCAGCTGGTGCCGTGGTACGTCCACGCTACAACGGGGGGGTTGCCCACGTTCTCGTGTTGTCTGGGGCCGCGGAGCAATCATCACAAGAAGGGATTCTTTGTTTCGTCAAGCCTCGCCGGATAACTTCATTTTGAGTTTTGCAAGAGCCGCCCCATTGCGCAGAAAATGGCGGCGGTGATGCTCACAATAAAGAACAAAACGAACGCACGAGGGAACATGTCCATGCGCCCTACCATAAGTGGCAGCCTCACCGGATCGGCACCTATGACAGACGCAATGAGGCCTATCGCCAACGCAATCAGTCTCATCAGCACATGCATGCCGGCATCCAGCACTTGCACGCATTTCACAACCGTTGATACCATACCCATGACAAATTCCATTCTGGTGATTGACATGCACAACGACGAATTCCCCAATGTAGGCAAATCACACGCCAGCCACCTCATGTCATCCAAAATGCTCACTCCGATGGACCTACGCATGCAAATCCACACCTTGATGACTGAATCCGCAAAATCCCAGGCAGACGGAGCAGCTCCAGACCTCCACGCACGTGTGCTACTGAAAATAGATCTGTGCAGGACCAAGAAACCACCAAGGGGCCTCGCACCCCAGAATAGACCAGCTCCCAGAAGCACGGGCGTAGGGAGGGGGTACACCGAAATGGACGAAATAAGTATTGTGGAAAATATGGAAAAATTAGCTCCTACTATATTTGTGAAGTGTATGAGGTGGTTTGTGACTCCGCTACTAAAGCAGATGCTGTCAAGGTCAGAGGCAAGCTGTGGTGGAGCAAACCATTTTGGAATTACTAGTGGCAATGCATTTGGGCCACAGTGGTGAAGTTAATATGCAAGGCTAGCAGTAACTTGGCTGCGCTGAGCGATAAATGGGTGTTGATTTAGGAGTGCGAATGTGGGGCTGAGCTGCAATGCAACAGACGATGGCTGGTGCTTTAAACCTTGAGTGACCCTGTGCCCGAACTTTGGGAACGATAAATTAATGTGTAGACGACATTTTACACAAATGAATTGAGTAATTAGCGACAATACGTAAATGGCACAAGATGGGTAGTGTCCCCATCGCTGTCGAACATTATGTTGACCATTTCACTGGGTTGTTCGTCACCTATCCGTGCTGGAAATTGGATTTAGAAAGTGTTTGCAGCAAACAACTTGTTCATGCCTTAAGTACCTCCAGATGCATGTATTTTACATGTTGTGGCGTCAGGAAAACTGCAGTGGGACCTCCGAAGCAGAAGATTCTCCCACAATTCGTAATACGTGCACATTCACCTCACCCTATGGAACGATCGTCCATCTATGGTTTGAAACGAGTGCAGCGTGATACAATTGCTTGTTTCTAGATTCAGCCCCCGATGAAGATTCAAAGTGCAGCAACAACTGTGTGCCAGCATTGGCGCAATGATCCCGCACGCATCAGCGCTTGTCAATTTGGGCATACGGTAATTTCTTGAAGCGTTGCTACGCGTTGCGTCAATTGCAATGCACCCACACATTTGCATTGGCGCCTAACCCAAGCGATCCCAGATAGTATCGTTGAATTTGTAATTTGCACCGCGTGTGAGTCCAAGCGGTCCCAAAATAAACTTTTGCGTGTTTTAGCTTTCAGCCCCTTGCCTAGATGAGCCAAGCGAGTCTAACCTTTATCATTGTATTTGGCAATTTTCAGCTCAACGCCCAAGTTTGGTGGGCTCACTTAAGTGAGCACAACTTCGATCGTTGTATTTTTCAGTTTCAAAACCTGACCCCAAGCTGTTGCAATATTTTATCATTGTGTGCAATTCACAACCCAGGTCCCAAACAAGCCCAGCTTTCATCGCTGTGTCTTGAGTTTTGAGCCCCACATCCAAATGGACCCCAGAGAGTTCAAATTTCAAACTAGTGCCCTAGTAAGCTCAAGTGCGCCCAACTTCCATCGATTCTTTTCCAGTTTTGAGCACGAGCACAACTGAGCCAAAGTGAGCCCAACTTTTATCGTTGTATTTGGCAATTCCTGGCCAGTTCCCCACCGAGCCCAAATGTTGGTCGTTGCGCTTCTTTGTTCTGAGCCCCGCGCTCAAATGGGGCCAACTTTTGTTGTCGCATTTGCAATATCTAATCCGGCCCCAGCTGACCGCAAGTGAGTGCAATTTTCTTTGTCGATGTTTTAAATTTCCACCCCGGAGCCCGATTGAGCCCGACCTTTGTAGTTGTGTGTTTTGGTTTCAAGCCTTGCCCAAGCGAGCCCAACGTGTATCGTTGGTCGTTGCGATCTCCATCCCCGCGCACAAGTGAGCCCAAGAGAGCCCATTTTTCATCGTTCGTTGTTGCAATGTCCAGGCCAGGTTCCGACTGAGCCCCAGCGAGCCCAACTTTATTATTGGTTTTTGCAATTTCCAGGCCAGCGCCCAAATATTAATATATATTATTTCAATTACATTAATTTCAAGCCCAACGCCCATCTCAGCCAAAGTGAGCCCAACTTTATCACTGTGTTCAGAAATTTCCAGGCCAGATCCCCACTGAACCCAAGCGAGCCCAACTTCGGTTGTTGCAGCTTGCAATTTCTAGCCCAGTGCCCAAGTGAGCAGAAGTGAGCTCAGCTTTTATTGCTCTATTTGGCAACTTCCAGGCCAGAGCCCAAACAGGCGCAAGTGAGCTCAATTTTTACCGCTGTATTCGGCAATTTCCAGGACATAGCCCAACTGAGCCCAAATCAGCCCATTTTTTGTTGCTATAGTTTGCAATTCCTGCCCAGTGCCCAATCAGCCCAATCGATCCCAACTCTTACTGTTGTGTTTGGCAATTTCCAGGCTAGAGCCCAAGTAAGCCCAACTTAGCCCAACTTTTTGGTTGCAGTTTGTAATTTCCAGCCTTGCGCCCAGGTGAGCCCAACTTTCATCACTGTATTCGGGAATTTCCAGGCCATAGCCCAAGTTAGCCTAGCTTTTAGTGTTGTATTGTGCAATTTCCAGCCCAATGCCCAAGTGAGCCCAACTTTGATGTTGCAGCTTGCAATTTCCAGCCCAGCGCCCAAGTGGGCCCAGGTGAGCCATTACCTACATTCTCTTATTTTCTTTGTGGCTACTTTGTGAATGATATTAATGATTTCGCGCCCAAATAAGCCCAGGCTCGATCTCAGCGCTCAAATGAGCCCAAACCGAGCCCAGGATCTAATGCACAATGCGCACGCAATGATGATGTGGTGGATGATGCATAATATGTAACGCATTTCCCTGGTCGCTGTAGCCTGTCGTTGATGACCGGAGAATGAAATTGAGGCATTTATTAGCCATGCTTTTTAAAGGTTGGTGATGGCCAACTTCACCAATTTGCTTTCTCACAGCATGTCAGGCAAATGAGACACGTCATACTGGGTAGCTTCAAGAAAGTGCAAGTCATTGCTCAATGACATTACAATACAACGGGTGCCACACAGCCGCGGCGGACCATACCACCACAATAATTGAAAAGTCAGCCGAAGAACAACCAGCGTCCCTGCCAGGCAACAACGTCATTCAACCATCCTTCCCGAGCAAATCAAAAGCGCCGTCCATCCGAAATCTTCTCCGAACGATCCAACCAAGAAAGAATAATGCAATCTGCTGACCGAATACAGCAAACAATGCCTAGCCAGAGCTATGGAAACAAAGACACCCGCAGTACAAAATGCTCCCTCTAATTGCGCCCCGACAAAAAAAATTTGTGGTCTACAATCTCTGCATGGCTTCAACCATCCTCCATGACTCTTCCAATGTCATCACGCCCTCTTCAGACACCAGGCGGTCCACCGCAGCAGCAGAATCGCTGTCCAGGGTCACCTGCAGCGCAATGGACACACAACATTTGCACTGGCAAACATCTGGCCATTATGCACAACATCATTCCACGTTCAGTTCGGCTAAGCTGCTAGGAAAACCAATCTTCAGCAAGATAGCGCGCGGAACTTGGACCATCAATTGCAATTTCACCTGCATGTCTGGTGCCATTTCCACCAGCGCCAATTGCTGTTTCCCGCACTACAGGTTCTGCACAGGATTGTTCTCTCACCACATACACTCAGTCTATTCTACTTAAAATTGTGTCCCTGCGCATTATTCTTTCAGTTTTCTATCCGCCACATCATGCCATGAAGAGAGCATCGGCTGGGCGGGGCTACTGTGACCAGCATCATCGACCAACACTAGGACACATGTGGCCGTCACCTTCTGTGGCTGTCACCTCCTGTGCCAAAGAAGCGGACCTACAGCCATGCGTGAGGTCGATATTAACTGAATCCAACACGTTATCAGATGAGGGAGACAGAAACTTCCTTAACTCGCGCATTCCAAAATGATTAAGTCTGTTGTAAGTACTAATCGCGGATATTTATACAGTCATATTCACTGAATCCAACACGTTATCAGATGAGGGAGACAGAAACTTCCCTAACTCGCACATTCCAAAATGATTAAGTCTATTTTAATTACTAATCGCGAATATTTACACTGTCATCATGGTGATCAACAGTGATGTCTATCGACCACGGGCCAGTCCCAAGGTTTAAATCATGGACAGGACGTGAGCAGGAGCGAATGCTATGACGCTTAGAGCCTTGATTTCCTTGTGGTTCAGCCGCAAGGGGAAAATGCCTTGTTCATATTGTTGCAACGAATGCACACTTTCTAACGGGAGTATTTTCAGCAAGGGAGAATCCCGGCAGATGCAGCCTAGGCAGGTCAACAGTTCCCTTGCGAGCCGGACATTCCCTACATTGTTTTCAGCTCCATCAGCAAATAGGAGGGAACAGAGTGCACTGCGCTGCCGATCGAAGTCAAACAAGTCGCACACCTCAATGTAGTTGTTTCTGTTGGGCCCATCGTGGTGTGCTGGGTAGTCAGCAGAACACCACCAGTTGCCATCCATGACAAACTTGAATTGAAACCTGCAATGCCCAAACGAAATTTGTGCCTCGACTGGCTTCTTCCGGAATTTGCTGCCGTTTTGCCAATGGAATCTATGTCCTTTGCAGAAGGCACAAATAACATGCAATCACACTTGTCCATTCAACTGGCGTGCAATCAGCAGCAATCCATCTGCCATGAACACAAAACGGCGCACAATATGTAAATGCAGAAAAAATATACTAATACACCAACACTAATACAGCTTTCATGCCATTCACTGAAACAGCATTCATGCCATTCATTGCTTACAATCTTTTCGTTAGATTGTTAGCAAACATTAGCAAGGCGTCATTTTCTTAGCAATAAAGGAAGACTTTGTTAAGGAAAATTGACAGAAGAGGGTTCTTTCCAGGATGACGTGACAAAAGGGGGTCCTCTGAGCGCCCACCGTCCACCCTACACCTGGCGCCAAACCGGCAGCAGCCTGGCAACGCACCTAATGTATGGTGGGTGCCCAGAGGAACCCCCTTTGTCACGAAGTCCTGGAAAGAACCCTTCTTTATCATTTTATCATTTGCTACAATAAAGCACGAATCCACCTGACTACAATTCACCATAATGCCAACCACTTGTGGAAAATAAACAGAAAATATTGGCTTCGACATCCCACCTTCCCGGGCTGAGTAGCCTTCTGGTGACGTATCTCTGAGTTGCAGGGTCAAAGTCCATGGTCAGGGTAGAACCCCAGCCAATGTCCAGTCCAGCAACCTGAGGCAAGGAACCGCCAAATGGATGTGCCAAACCGGTCAGCAAACCCAGCTGCTGCCAAACCCATGTGCATGAGGGAACAACCTGGGTAAGGAGCGAACCAGTTCCACAACAGCAGTAGGCAAAAGACAGAACAGCATTGTCCACTTGCAAAGTCATCTTCTAACCTCCTTGGAGCAACCACGAAGAGAGGTCACACATTGGGCACTTCCTCTCAACACAACATCGGCACATTCCATCCCGGATGGAGAAGTTCCAAGCACAACGAGGAAGGATTTGCTCCAAACCAGGCATTTTCGAACAATCCAGCGCTTTGGAGCGAGAAAGCCACTGCCGAATCAAGACCATGGGGCAACCATGACCAGAAGATGATAGGACTCCTCCACATAGGGGAAGCCTGCATGTGCAGGTAGTTCGTCCCAATAACTCACCTGCACCACCTCGGTGTTGTCTGGTGCCACCACAGATATCTGGACCTCTTTTCTGGAGCTCCAGTACAGGACATCAGCAGTTGCTTCGCGAATGGCGAAAATCTTAGGCCCACAAGGTCGCCTTGCCACAAGGTAGTCGACAGCATCCTTTTGCAGAAAAGGCACACTGTACATCATGCCTTGCAGGGAGAACATCCATTCTTGACAAATATTCTGTCACCACTTAACCAACCTGGCAAAATGCATCGACACAGCACCTGCCGAATGGCAACCATGAAGCATGACACCTGGACAGCCTCTGGAGAGCCACAAAACCAACTCTGCAACGAGTCACAGACATGGCAAGGGGCATTCAAACACCTTCTATATGTCTCTCAATTGAATACCTTTAATTTCCATCCTTTGCACCAGTACATGTATGCAATGGCCGCTGCTGGTGCCCGACCAAGTCCTGTACATCACAATGCAGATGGCATGTCAGGCCCACGCACAAAGCACAACACAAAGAGGGCTCCATTCAACACTTGTGCTCTGGGATCCTCACTGGGAAGGCTGAGCCAGTGTTGGAAGGTACAAGTGCACTTACCTGCAGTGCAGTGGATGTATATTGCACCCCCAACCCGCTCATGTTGCCTGGAGAATTCTGCAACGATCTGCAAAGCCAGAAAGACAGAACACGCAAATGAAATTTAGCCCAAGTTTGGACCAAACACAGTGCGGACAACACAAGAAATACAAGTAAATGAAGTGATTGAGCGAAGAATCTATGCAGTGGCTGACTTTGAAGACTTCATCTCTCCTTTGCTGCAACTCGCTTGCTAACATCGACAAATATTTAAGAGAGCCACATCGTCACGTTTGGACAAATGTACTCAACAGGGAGTTGATATGCAGTAGTCAGGCTGGGCTGAACTATGCTTGTCATCAGTGCATCCACACCTTGGGGAGCCGCTGTCTCAAGCTCTGGGGATCGAAGTCCCTGATGGGCAGGTGGAGGTGCTTCACATCGCCCCTACTGGTGCAGCAGTCCTTGATGGCAGCCAAGTCGAGGTCCCAGTACTCACAGTCCTTGTCCTCCTGCAGACAAACTATTGTGGAGACGCCCTCCTTCTCAACAAGCCTGGAAATCAACAACCATCATCAGAAGGGCCATTGTCATCAGCAAGTTTTGATCTCATACAGCGACTGTATGAATCGATTCTCTATGCTCTGGCATGCATAGTGTAAGTTTCAATCAAACTCTGCCAAATGTGTGGAACAGAGAACATGCTGCTGCCCACCAGGCGGAGCCAGACATAGCAAAGGGCAAACACAAGTTGACGAGTCGGAAAGCAGGAAGATGCTGTCCACGTTGGTAATTGTTTTCATGACATTCTCACAGTCCAACAAGCAATGGATTTTCATCTGTTGCTTGTTTTTAACTATTTGTGATGATGTACATGTGTCCACACCACAATCCAGCACAGTCGTCCACCTTGCAAGTACTTTACACTGCGTTTCACAGCAGTACATGTTGATGCTCACCAGTCCACATCCCCTGGAGTCTGCACACACGACCCCACGATAACATCATCCCATATGCGGGTGTAGTTCATCCCATCTTGATGCCGATATTCAAGGGAGGGGCTTCCCATCTGTTGTTGCATCGTTTTGCAATACTCCGCTGAGAGGTCTGGCCGTGAGAGACCTGCCAATGAAAGAATATGGTTCAGAACAGCACTGGTGGGCAATGCATAAAAAAAAGAGGCCGAAACGAACCTAGAGTAGGTTTACGACCTTCAGACAGTTGAAGAACGCCACTTGGACCGAAGTCAACAGAGAACAACGAACACTGACACAACAGAAGCCTGGAATCTCAAGATGGGCAGATGCATGAGAATAATGCAAGAATGGGAAGTTGAACTTGCTGTTGCAGCAGTCTTGCCCACAGCCACAAGGTGCCGTCAATGTGCATGTGATGCAAGCCACACAATTGTCCATTAAGGCACACACTCACCTTCCACTTCAGCGTGGGCGACTGCTGTGACGCGATGCGCAACCTGCAAGATGGCAAAACATGCATGCATGGTTGTCAACAGTGCACTCAGTTGCAAGTCATAGTCCTGGCCTCTGAATCTCACCCTCAAGATTCAGGAGCCAGGATTCCTCCAAACCTCTGGTTCTTTGAGGATTGAGTTATCCAGCAGTCAACGTAGAGGGCAACCATTTAATGTGCCCTTTCCCAACAAATGATCTTTCAGTCCTGTAGCGCCCACCTGATCGAGCTGTTGGGAGGTCAGCTTGGGTCTTCTACTAACATCAACACCGCTCCAGTGAGAGTGCACTTGTCTGGCAGCACAGCCACAATGTGCACTTCAGAATCTCATCACCACGGATCGGCTGCACTTCGTGAGTGGGCACATGAATCAGAGATCGAAGATAGCAGGCAGCGCTCCCGCGTCCCAGTCAGTGGACAAGCTGTGAACATATGAACAGCATTTCCGTGCAAGATAACGCGTTTCACAATCCAACCCGCAACTGCCTTTGAACAGCGCAGGCTCCACAGGGTTGGACTCTGATCCGTGGGCATCCACTCGACTTCGAATGCGGACGGCAACACGCAGTGCACCCCACAGAGGCTCGAAACCAAGCCCTCGGCTCCACACCATTCCCTCCACCCTTCGGCAGCGCCAAGACGTCGGCATCGACAACATCCTGGTCACCGCTGCCGCCTGAGGTGCCGTCCCCGCGGCCGCGCGCTGAGAGACGGCACCGCACGTGTCTTCACAGCTAACCACCCACAGGTCGAAAAGTTGCACGAATCCTCGGCAGCAACGGCGGCGTAGCCTCAAATCCCCGTTACAGAGCATCGCGGCTCCAAGCTGCAGTCGGGGAAGCCCGCCGCCCCCCACCCACCCACACACACAAACCCCAGCCCAGCCCACCCCACCGGGCGCCCGCAGCTCAAGCTGAGCAGTCCTCCAGGCCCCATGGAACCCCCTCGGGGCACGCTTCCCGCCCCAGGCGGGATCCACCCAATGCCCAGATCTCAGAAAACGCTAACGCCGAGCGGGCCTTCCGTCCAAGGACAGGGTCCCACGCGCGCGCCCCTGGGCACCGCATGGGCCATCGATCGCCAAGGCACCCCATTCGATGCCATCGGCCGAGCCGCGCCGGCGCCCTCGGTCCGGCCAACGGCCATCATTGGCCTCGCGGCCGGGCCAATGCCCCCGCGCCGCCCGATGCGCGATCGCCCCCGGCAACTCTTTTGCGGACAGTTTAGAAGGCATGCGGCGCACCTGCCGCCGAGCGCCCCGCACAGCGCGGGTGTGGCATCCAGGGCGCCGGGCGCCGCGGACCGCATCCCTCCGGGCTTCATCAACGCCGGCCCGATCCCGCGGGCTCCCAGGCTGCAAAGGTCGGCCGCAGGCGGACGCCTTCAAAGAAGACGGGGTATGATCTGCCTCAACGGCGCATGCGCGGGGGGGCTCAAGAAGCCGCCGCGGCTTGCTTGGGATTGCCTGTTTGCGGCCCGGGCAGTCGGGGTGGTCGCCGGTCTCTGCCGGAAACGGGTGCACCGAGCACGAGCAAAGCACGAGCAAGGCACAGGCCAGGAGCAGGGTTTGGGTGTGAGGTGCGAAAAATGTGCTCCGCCGCTGCGCACCGGTGGGGCAGTCTCTGCCGCGGGTTGGGAGGGGGGTGTCGGGGACGCCCGGGGGGGCCGCCACGTGGAAAGTGGCGGGTGACGTGGTCGGGACTTTGTGGACGCGGTCGACGCTTGTGGCGGTCGCGGGACCGGGAGCTGAAGGACCACGAAAAGCCACCCGGCTCGCATGCTCACTGGCAAGGACGGATCGGTTGTTCCGCACTTCGAAGTGCCTTGAATTTATGGCCCGGCACAAGGTTGTTCATCTTCATTCATTGTTGCACTGACGAAGGCACGCAGGGTCGAGGGGTGGCGACACCTGACTGGGGATCGTAGGCTCGCGTCCACGGCAACGGTCTACAGCCGAGCAGAGGGACAACAGGGATTCTGTCCCTTATATCCAGTCCGTTCATCAATGTCCTTAATGCAGTTCCTGATGCCCCATCACTTTTCTAGGCGTCCAGCTGTTAGTGGTACTCAACTGGTTCTTGTTGCAACAGAACAACAAGGCAAGGGGGGAGCCGTCAGGACGAGGTTGTTCCAGTGCGAATCGTGGAAGACCGGGAGGTCTGTTTTCGGAGCCGCACTTGAGAGGAGTCTTTGGAGGTTTGGCAGTCAGGGTGATGAGGGCGGACGGGCGATTGGAAATTGGCAAGGGAGGCGAAGCAAATTCAGCGGAAGACAACCAGTGCTCAACGATATGGTCGCTGATGCAGAAGCCGTGGGCGTGAACGCCATACGTTGGACAGAACCGGACGTTGACTTGTGCATGTTCATGACGCTGCGGATGCATACTACACACAACTTGGCATTATGCCAATCTACCCCAATTTACATAACCTAAATCAGTGCAAACTGCAATAAACTGACAGATCATCTGTCAATGTGACAATGATTGTCACCATTTCTAGAGTTTTGGCATATGTGGCTGCGATTACCGCTTTAAGCATCTTCCATACTGGAACATACACATATTTACCAATTTGCGTAGTATGGCTGTCGCTACAACCAACGGGCGAGTCAGCAACAATCCCATGCAATCCCCATGGCCCCAAGACCATGAGAGAGGCGCCGGCTCGTGGTCACATGGGTGGCCACACCAATGGGCAGTGTGGAGCGTCCATCAAAGAGCAAATGTGCCAGCACAGTGGAGGAGGAGAAGAGACGCTGACAAACTAATGCGACCACTGCGGTGCACACAAAATTCTAGAGCTTTAGCAGAAGAATTATTTCTTGGACAAAAGCAAACACACTCACCTGAGATCGGAGCCTATTCCTCGGCTGGTACGCCGGTCAGAACAACACGCGCATTGCAGCTACATATGTGTGGTCACCGGTCCTCGACGCGCATCAATATTGAAGTGCCCTGGCACGTAGACAGAATATCGGCACGCAGTCAAGGCGCTTGTGCCCACGATTGCAAACAATCGACGCGCGTTTCAGCGTACTTGCTGTCATCCACACTGACAGCTACAGCACTGACAGCAATGGCTGTGTTGGTGATCATAAAGACCACCAATGCTGACATGCAAGCATGCGATCTTGCATGCGCTAATAGAGATCAGTACTTAGGAATGATCGAAGCATAGGCGCACACAGATTGAGCGATGTTGAACATCGCCACCAACGGTTGTCAAACAATTTCTAGTCCACAAATTTGTGCTTTTAAAAGCACATTACTCGGAAGAGAAAGCTAGGCATTAGTCTTGCATAGTGTGCAAGCTGCCCAGCGATTCTCGCAACAAGGTGTTGTCAGAACAGGCGTACAGAATGGATATAATACTGCAATTTGTATCAATCTATGCCCTCAATTTCATGCAAATGCAGCGGAAATGGTGCTCAATCGTAAACTCATACTGTAACCCAACTTCACACTTTGTCGCAATTAGTGGCGTTGAGATCATTGGCTTCGAAATGCTTGTATCAGCTGTCCACTTGAGAATCTCCAGAACTTATAAATTTAAATCTACTTGTATTTACGTGTGATTCAAAGTATGTGATGGAGAATTCGACAAGATTGGTTCAGGCACAGCACCTGTACAGGAGCACACATGTGTGCGAAGCTCAGCGACTTCGATCGGGCGGACATCATCGTGTCACACCAGCCACTGTTCCACTGATGCTCCTGGCTGCGTGGTCCCTTGATGAATTCAGGCCTGCATTGCAGATTCAACAGAAACAGAAAGTCCCTTTATAAAGTTGCAAAGGGACTTCCTTTCTCTGCTGATTCCGCGTCCTGGTTTTAAACTTCAATCCACACAAACAGATTCGAATTGTACAAGGCTGAAACATTGTCGTGCGGTCGCCCATGGAGGCTCAAAGTCTAGCGTACAGAAATTGAGCTGCCGCCAAAATTAAAACCCCATCCAATTCACAAGCCTGACCTCCTTCTCTGCCAGTGTTGCGAACCCACATGTGCGCTGTCACGGAGTCGTGGTGCAGCGGTGGATAGTGCAGCCAGGATGGAATTCGGAACCAGCTCAGACGCTCCAATTCAGCTTTCTGGCGTTCACAGATTCGTTGCCATCGCTGCAGTAGAAGGCCTGATATCGAGCCTTCACGCGTTGCACATTTGAGATTGAAATTTGAGTGTTTTCGACATGTTTCCTGATCGTCGCGTCAGAGTATGTGAGGCGCCGTCACATCAAAGTCCGTGGGTGGCTTTCAGCGCAGAACGGATCGGGCAATTTTTGAGTGCCCCGCTGTGTCCACTTGTTCTGATTGACGCAAAAGTGTGTGTGTGTGTGCCTTGGGGGGGGGGGGGGGGGGGTTGAGAGGGGCAAACCGTGGACGACAATAAATTGTGTGATTCTACTGGAATGGATGCAGGCCACAAACACCAGAAGAAACCGATATTCTTGCCATGTCAGCTGTGATGCCATTTGGCACTGATGCATGGCATTATACCCAATTTTGTGCCATCGCAATGACTGTGATCGTGCCACTTTGTGTCAAAATGGCATCGCAGTTGGAATCGCAAACATGGCGTTTTCTCATAGTGAAAAGGGTGGGGAAGACTTTGACCTGAGCCTGTGCTACGCCAAAAGGCGAGTTGGTTTCAAGTCAGGAAGCAAATACCACTAGCATAAAAAGTACCAAAAAACACTTATTGCGCACTAGAAACGCGGAAATAACACAAACCCGTAAACTTTGTACACGTTTGAACACGTTCTATTTGGCCCTTTTTTCCTGGTGAACGCGACTTGAACTCAGTAAAGCTCGAACGTTCTGGATCCCCTAAGTTGTGGTAAATTGGCATGATAGGTCAGGTGAGCTTGGCGGTTGGCTGCTTTTAGGCAGCTAGGGTGTGGGACACACCGGCCATTGGCGAGGAGTGATCGCATGCAATTGTCAATTATCTCCACATGGGCTCCTAGATTGATGATTGGCGCACAGTGGGAATGTTTGGGTGTGAGCTAAGAAGGGACGTTTGGCATTGGCTAGGCATGCGAGCCGAAGTGAATTGCCCTTCATGAAACAGAGCTTTGGTGGGGTAGCGCGTTAACTGAATTTGATTCACGGTAGTCAAGTGCAATGTAATGTCCTATGCCGCGATTATCGCTGATGGAACAAGCATACACAAACCCAAATAGTGATTTTGGCTGTGTGGGGCACAGGTGCACCATTCTTGGGGTTTTTAGGCCTCAGGCACAGGTACGAATAATATTGGATCGCTGTCTAAATAGAATGCGCACATTACGACGCGGTGCCGCATGCCACCTTGCGGGGCGCGTGGCAGGCAGTTTTCGCCTTTCAGTCAAGTTCCCCCAAGTCATGTTGCGTCATTGGCTGCGTAAAGGGTCATTCCGTGCTGTGCCGCGCCGTGCCGCGGCGTAAATTCCATCAATTATGGAGTGTCGATTACACAATTCGGCTATACTTTGAAGACGTATCTCAGAAGCTGATTGGCTGATACCGCGAACTCTCTTGAATTACAATCGCAATCTGTCCCAATTTCCCTCTGCCGCACACGCCTTACCAAAGCTGACGGCTGTGGCAAAGGGCCAAAGTTATTTTTTTCCCACCAGCTTTCAGCGCCTGACCCTTGCATCCATCTCTCCTAAGTACAGAAGGCTAGCAACGGGTGCGCTCAAATAGAGCTACACCCGCCCGTTGCCTTCCCCAAGTATGCCCCTTTGCAGCACAACCCCCAGGTGGCGACACACTCAGATTGGAGGCTTGTGCGCTGAATGTCCGCATTAATTTACTCGTTCCTTATCACTGACCGCTGCATGGAACCGACGGCGATCTGCAGCACAGTGAGCCACATTCGAAGTGAGACCATCAGTCACACGAATAATACTTTACGCCATTTAAATTGGGCACTGGCCATTCAATTTGGCCCCGTCTAAGCTCTTGCATTCCGTACGAGGACAAACTTCCGTGTCGCGTCCCTGAAAGGCATTCTTTACGCTCACAAAACTGTCGTTTGTAAACATTGCACATACAGCGAAGCAAGCACATTGCCTCAAGTGTCGGCTGTATTGAAGGCATTCATAAGCCCGTTCTCATTTGTCGCGCAAACGCGCTACCCACCTGTGACTTGAAAATCACAGCACTTCCTTCCTCGGATCAACAGCTTCCTTCTCCGCTGCGTGGGTTGTGCTACCGCCTTTGTATTTGCGACCTCCCTTACATTACGTCAACACGTCCTTTTACATAGTTTTCCGTCTTTGCCGGGGTCCATAATCATGTCCAGCGGGTCTTGGTGTGCCCCATGTCCACCGCAGCTG